TTCTATGATTCTATGATTCTTTTAGCTTATTTAGTCTTCCTCCTTTTAAAAATATTTAGTGTGAATAATATGCATTGCTGTTGCTATGTAGTTCCTGTATCTCTCTAGCTTTAAGTTCTCAGGAAGGTTATGGGGAAGTATGTGGCATGGAAGGTGTATATCTGTATGCCTTAGATAGCACATTACAATCTGCATGTGCTTAAACAGCAGCTGATTCCCCTCTTGGCAAGGGACAAAGACCCAGTGTGCATAGGCAAGTATTAAACATTTTCAGGTTATTTTTGTGTCCTGCACATGCGGAGACTGTGACAAAGATTGATGAAATTGTTCAGAAAAATCCAGAGGGCAGCACCGTGCAATTTTTATTCTTTCTTAGTATTTTATCATGGAGCGTGCTGTATAAACTCCTCCCACCACCTTTAAATGGGTGTCTACACACATGTGCCTGTCTCTCTTCAGTGTACTGTTGTGGTGTAGATGAGTGGGCAGGGATGGCCAGTCCTCCTCATCTTGCAAGTCACGTGCAAGCCTTCAGAGAGACGAGAGCCACTGGACACTGCAGCTCTAGAGAACTGATGGGAGGCAGATGTCCAGAAGTTATTGACAGGGAGAACATGGTAGTGGTTTCCCAGCCTCTTGCTGCTGCTTTGCAGGGAGAAACTGGTATTGAGTGGGATGACAAAATAAAAGCACTAAATTCAGCCTGGGGAGCTGGGTTCTGCACGTCTCCCTGTGTCCAGCTGAATTGCATGGCTGACATGGGATGCCAGAACAACTTCTGAGCAGCCTGTGTTTAGAAAGCTGTAGCCTGTCCCTACTCAAGTGCTTGTGCTGTGGTGACAGCCTGGTTTGTTTACTCCCTTTTTAATGCATTCTGAATGATGCCCACTGTCAACACTATCTGGCTTGAATTTATACTTTGATTGTGTGAGTGAAGATTAATACAGCAGGAAATTAGGATGTTGATGGAGAGTTAGGAAGGGGGCTTGAAGACATTCGATGAACTCTTACAGATGGACAGCTGAAATCTCTATAGCAAGATTATACTTTGTCTGACTCAGTCACATCTAAAAAAACCCACAACAACAAAAAAAATCCTTTTTGCCTCTGTTACAATGCTCTTAGTGCTGTGCATGTGGGAAAACAAAGGCTATCAGAAGATGGAGTAGAGTATAACCACCCCCTTTCTTTTCTATAATGTGTACCTTCCTAGACTATGTTAGCATCTCACTCTGCTTGTTAGGTATGATATGAAAGTGTTGGCTTCAACCCTGCTGAAACACTCTTGTATAGGAAATGGCCTCTTCTTCCACATTGTAAACTGTGGGAATACTCCAGCCTACACATATGCCCTCCCACTTGCATTATGGTACCTAAGCTGATGGCAGGGTGTTTAGTGGAGGACTTTCAACTCTGGAATTTGCTCGCTTTGTTGGTCCAACACCCTCAGTCTGCCGATTTTTGTGGAACATTACTTAAGTCTGAACAAACGCGAGCCTTTTATCAGAAGCGGTTAAATTTTTTGGTATTACAGTGTGTTCATAAGGATTTTCATCTCTGCAATCACTTAATTTTATCAAACAATGCAAATGGTGTAAGCTGCATATTGGTATAGTAACATAAATCTTAACAAACTGTGCTTTGAGACATCACGTGGCAATAGAGGCTTGGCTTATTGTTGAACAGAGGGTGCAAAAGGGAACCCGTTCATCTCTTGCTACTTTCATATTCTGCTATTAGTTTTTTATGTGAATAACATGAACTTTAATAGTCTGTGGTTCTTACTCTGAAGCTTCTGTTGCTATAGGTAGTATTTTATGTGATGTTTGGGTTTGGTTTTCTTCTGTACAATTGCAATGCATGTGTGTACAGGGAATAAGGTTTTAAAGTTGCTGTGTGAAGTTTAGCTGTGCGTTCTTGATGTAGTTGTCATGGAAAATCTATCCTTGTTCTTCTGATTGAAACTGCTATTAACGGTTCAAATGGTAGTGAACTTGTAGTTTAACAGATATTTGCACAAAGTTTCTAACAAGCCTTTAGTAAACTGAATTAAAACGTAAAGCTTTCGGTAGCATCTGTGTTTGAAAAATTGTGAAAATGCAACTTCTTCTAGTGTATTGTTACAATTTTTGATGTGTGGTTTCTTTTTCTGAAGATTCCGTAAAATGAACAAGCGTCTGGTTCCCAGAAGACCCCTGAGTGCCTCCCTGGGCCAGCTAAATGAGGTGGGCCTGCCTTCAGGACCTATCCTCTCGGAGGAAGGGGGAGTGGACTTGCCCAATAGGAAAACTTCTGCTCTGCCAAATGGAATTGTGTCAACAGGCAGCACAGTGACGCAACTTATTTCTCGAGGGACTGACTCCGGCTACGAAACTGCTCTGAAGCCAGGAAAGATGGACCATCTGAGTAGCAGTGCCCCTGGATCCCCTCCTGACTTGTACGGGTCTTCCTAAGTGGTATTCCAAGTGCTCTCTGTGTGTAAATGTGCAGTAGAAACAAAGTAAACCCATTCTCTAGAAGAGAAACAGAATGAAGTTTTTGGTTTGGGTTAGTTTACTTTGATGGTTGTATGGGTGGGTGGGGTTTTTTTTTAAGTGATTAAAGAGTAGAGTACGAGAGTAGAGCTAAAACTCTAAACTGCTTCACTTCTCTGTTTGCTTTTATTTTTCACACCTGGAGAAGGTGATGTGAGCCTTCAGAAGGTGGCATATAGACAGAGAAGAGTGTTTGCTAGTACAGGGTGCTATATCAGGCCTTAACGAGCAGTGCCATCTTTTTACTTTTTAGGCTGGAGCCTGTCCCCAAGAGCTCTATTTCTGCCTTACCAGTGAACCCTCATCCTGTGCCTGCTCGGGCACCAACAGATCTGCCTTCAGTGTCTGTCACCAAGCAGCTGCAAATAGTACCACGAGGGTCTCAGTTGTATAATACCCAGCAAGCAGATATGTTTTATCAAGATCCCAGAGGAGCTGCCCCACCGTTTGAGCCATCACCCTACCAACAAGGTAAGTTAGAGACTGAGCACTCTCTCTCATCTTCATACTGATTTTATTCTTTATTCCTACTCTGATGTTTACTGAAGCTCACAAGTTGAAGTTTTGTTGCACAGCATGTGGACTATAATTTGGTGATGGCCTAATAAAATGGAAGCTGGCAGGCTTTTTCTATCTTTACTGAGGGTTTCAATGGAAGTGAAAACAGAGGTTTCCATCCAGTGTAGCAAATCCTTCTTTCCTCTGTTCTTCCCAGCTGGGCTAGATCAGGGATGTAATATGATAGACCTTAATTCAATTTGACTTGGGGAAAATGGAAATAAAGCTTAACCAGCAGAAGGGTTTATGCTTGAGGGGTGAAAATATTTACTTCCTTAATGAAAAGTGCGTGAGTGTTTCAGAAACATATGCATGTGATGGGTAGAGACAAGTGAAATTAGAGAAGGGCTGGGCATTAAGAAAACATAAAAAAGGAAATAAGAGGAAAAATTCTAAGTATAAAGAGACCAAGTGGAGAAAGGTAATGCTGATGCAGACTGAAAAGGAATGGCTGTATGTAAAGAGAGGGATTGATTCTTATGCAACATAAGATTGGAGAGAGAAATTACATAAAGTGAAGTTAATATGAAAGACAAATAAGGAATGAAAGACTGAAAGAAGTGGAAAGAAGAAAATGCCCTGGAAAGGAAGGCTGGAGGGGTTGGGCAGGGATCATTTTTGAGAAGGTTGCAGAGCATTTTGAAGAAACACAAGCTTAAATTTGGTTGTTTTGTGCAATGAAGGTCTGAGTTGTCCACAGAATTTGATGCACACGTTGTTAACAATGTGCACAGATGCATATTTTTAAATTATCCAGAAATCCCAGATAGATTACTAAAATCTTCATGTAACTAGGAGGTGTGATCTTAGAAGTCTTTGGTGATTCACAGTACTGCAGCTTCCTTCTGCTGTTCAAGAGGTAGAACAAATCTTCAGATAAGTTTAGACTCCAAATTTTGTAGCACAGGAAGTGGCTCTGAGATGTTGGGACAAATAAAAAATGTGAAATAATTCATACCGTTCTTATAATACTTGGGGACTGGAATATTTGAAACAACTTGGTTTTGTGGACAGTTGTGATAATCACTTTCTGTATCTTGTTTGTGGTTTTTCCTCTTGCCTTGCTTCAGGAGTTTATTATTCCACCCAGTCCATACCTCGCTTCGTCCGACCCCCTCCATCAGCTCCTGAACCTGGTCCACCTTATTTGGACCATTACCCACCCTACCTTCAGGATCGTGTGGTGAGCCCGCAATACACGCAGACGCAGCAGTATCCTCCGATGGGACAACCCATATACCCGCCGCACTACGACAGCCGGCGCGTATATCCCCCTGTCCAGCCGTATCAACGAGAGGAGATTGTCCGAGGGAGCCCTGTGCCCATTGAAATTCCACAAGCAGCTGTACCTTCCTACGTACCTGAATCCAGAGACAGATACCAGCAAACAGAGGGCTATTGCCCCGTGGCTCCACATCTCAATCAGATCAGACCTTCATGCCACAGGGTATGGTTTTAATATTGTGGTTTTTTAGCTGTTTCTGAAATAGAAGTTAGAAACTACTTGAGAAACTGAGTATTTTTGCAGTAAGGTGCTGATTTTTTGTGAGGAATTAAAAGTTTGAACTTTAAAAGGGGGCATACTTGTCAAAGCTCATCAGATCTGGAAGGCAGTTCAGTTACTGGTCAAATCTGCAGGTGTAATGATGTTAATCTGTAAAGGAGCGGGCTGCCACGTAGTGCTCCATGTAGAAAAATGTTGTAATTTAATTTTGGAAGTCTTATATGGCCCTGACTTTTCCAACAAACATTGGGCTGGAGAGGACTGCACTTTCTAGTGCAGATTAAATGCAGTGTGTGCCTGTGTTCCTGTGTGTGTTCTTGTACTGCCCATCTGTGACTGTTTATCATAAATATGCAAATATACACCCCTTGATAAAGGAACTAAAAATTCTGCTCTTCCAGATTTCCTCTACTTTTAAGATTGTTAACTGTGGAGGGTCTTCCTAGCAGAAGTGTACAAACCTGTTTTGGTAAATCGCCAGCTGGAATTGAGTCCTGCAGGACAGTTGGACTTACGTAGCTGTCATTCACGTTACAGGCTCTGAATCATATTGCTGAGTCCAAGACACATTTTTTTAACATAGCTTAATAGATTTATCAATTTTGAGTTTAACATGTTTGTGCAATGTGTAATTCTATTGCAAAATGACTATTAAATGCAAACCAACTGAGACTAGGTTATGGTCTGTAGAATTCTACCACTTCCCCTCGTGTGACTGAAATGGGTACTTGCCATGCTGCAGTGGAAACTTTGCCAAGTTGGAACACAGAGTAATGTTAAGCTACTTGTGAGTTAAAAGATTAGTAGTTTTAAAGCTAGAAACACTGAGTTAACTGAGGATCTAATCAATTTTAGGCAATATCATTCCCTGCCTTTTGGGTGTCTTGAACTAACACCCTGGCCAGTGTAGGAACATGCACATCCTATATTAAACATGAAAGTTAACAGACAGACTTGAACAAAGTGACCATTACTTATTATTGTAATGATACTGTCTAATCACTGTGTTTAACCTTCTCTTGCAGTATATGGTTGCCATGTTTTGTTAAGATAAACAAAATTTTTGAAATTACTAGTCTTGTGCATTAATGCTTCAGAAGCTCTGTAACGCATTCCTGTCTTCATTTCAGCCTCATCCCAGCCTGGATGAACTTCACCGACGAAGGAAAGAGATCATGGCCCAGCTAGAAGAGAGAAAGGTGATTTCTCCACCTCCTTTTGCACCATCACCAACCTTGCCTCATCCTTTTCATTCAGAGGAGGTAAGCCTATTTTGACAAAAATGTGACTCACTAGCATGTTTAGAGAAGACTTTGGAGCTTGGATGTGCTGATAGGTGAAGACAAGAAGAAAATTAGAACAGTACAGTGCTGGCAAGCCTGTGTGGGTAGATTTTGTGCTCCTGGTGGGAAGCCCTTATAGTGCAGTCTCCAGTTTTCTCAATTGGCTGTTGATTTCTCTGATCTCCTTCCGATTCTAAGCTATCTGCTTTTGGTACAACCAAGAGAGTTCGTTTTGAGCCATTACTAATTGAAGCAGTCAGTCTTCATGGTTACTGGACTTTGCTTCATTTGCTCCTGACACATTTAGAATTAAGTAGCAGCTTGATAAATCTTACTTTGGTTTATTGTCTTACTTTTTTTTAACCAAGGTCAAAATACTGCTTTCATACTGGCCAAGTGACCAGTCAAGACTGGGAGTGTGGCCAGGTGATCAGAATTACACACATTTCAAGCTTGCCATGGCCCAGTTCCAAATGGTGGTGTGTTGAAAAATAATCCTGGTGGTGTTTTTCTTCAAGTTCACTACTTTTGAACGGAGGAGTGGTGGCTGTGAAGCTGCTTCTTCCCTTCACTTACAGAACCAGATTTTTGTTTTTGTACAGTACTTGGATGAAGACCTGAAGGTAGCTGGGAAATACAAAGGAAATGACTACAGCCAATACTCTCCCTGGTCCTGTGACACCATCGGCTCCTACATTGGAACCAAAGATGCAAAACCCAAAGATGTTGTGGCAGCAAGGAGTGTGGAGATGGCGGTATGTAGGGATTAGGGTAGCTCAGAAGAAAAGTTGATGGCTTCTGTGGGCTGGGAGGGACTCTTGCTTTCCAGGATGATAGCAGTGCTTGTATTTAATCTCAAAAGTGGGTTACAGTAAAAAAATGCACTGGCAAGTGTGCAGAGTGCTTTGTTTTTGGTTATCGGCAGTCCTGCATCTGTGTGGCTGTTTTAAAATTCTGGATATAGATGTAGGCTAAGCACTCTGCTCTAAAGCCATGGATAGCAAGAGAGATTTTGCTGTGATTCTTTACACTTACTTGAAATCCCAAACTGAGACTGTCCTGGCAGCTTGTTAATTAAACATGTCCATCTGTCAGAGGGAGATGCTATAACTTAACTTCATGCTATTAATTCCTTCTAACGTGATTGTGACTGCTGTTAACAATGTTACTAGTTTTTAACTTCAAGGTCTATATGATTTGTGAACACTAGAATACCCAAAACTTGCATGAGCCTTCTGAGAGAAGCATAGACATAACGTAATACTAGGCTGATGATTCTTTTGAGGGCAGTTTCTAACTGGGCTTCTTCATCCTTCACTGAATCCATGGGTGTCAGGCTGTGATCTCTTGTGCTGGGGCATTCTTGCTAGGTCAGTTTTGCAAACAGAAGGGGCTGCTAGAGTATTGGGAGTCATGAGTGTAGAAGAAAAGAAATAGGATTCTGAAATACCACCACTATTCTGTTTCTTCCTGACTTCTAAGCATTACTTAGCAGCAAGAAGTGTGCTGGTAGCCTATGCAGGTAGGAAGACATTGAAGTCTTCAAGACAAAGGGCTGTTAGTCTGAGGGACTTTTAGAGATGCATCTATTTTCCTCCTTCACCTCCCATCTGCAAAAGTGTTCTATCATGTTTTGTTTATGTGTTGTCACTGTCATGACCTTTTTTTGGCCACTAAGTGGAGGGGGAAGAAATTTCTTTCCAAAATTTATTCTTCTGTGGACAGAGGATCAGTCACTTAACTAAATCATAGCATTTTTCTGTCCATCTTCTCTTTGCTCACAAGCGAGCTTCCCCGTTTCCCCTCTGCCTCATGGGAATTAAATGCATCTGGTTTCTCTCCACTGAATTGCTCTCCTGTAAGACCTCAAAGGCACAGTGTGAAATGGGAGCAACAAGGAGGCTTTCTCCCAGAAAAGACAGAGCAAGAAAAGACATTTTATCTGCAGCTTTGTTGTTTTTTACATGTCCTTCTGCTCTCTGATCTACACAGTGTGTTTGCCTTGAGTCATAGTGCTGTCACACTTGACCTGGGGAAGCACTGAGATTACTCAAGATCAGCTTATTGCTGTACAAGTGGCAGCGTTCAGGAGCCAACAAACAGCTCTTGTCTTCATCCCTGCTGCCAGGAAACTCTGCAGACAAACTGGAACTCAATTGAGAGGCAATAGGGTTCTGGAGAAGGAGACTCCTTTTTCATTGCTTAACAAAGCGTTCTGCTCCCCCAGAGCTGATTTTCAGATAAGCAAGTAAGATCTCTGCTGCTCTTCAGTTTTTGTCTCCTCACAGGAAAAAAATTCTCAAATTACCTTCACTGCAGACGTCAAGTGAATTTATTCTTCCTTTTTTTATTGTTCATTAAATACTCCTTTTTTCAGGGCTAAGAATAGTATCGTCTGTGTTACGCTTCCTGTGTTTAGCCTCCAACTTGTTTGTGACTGCCATTTTCAGACCTTTATTCCTGCCTTAGCTATGTTCTCTTTGTCTGTTTCCAGCAATCCTTATCCTCACTGAAAGCTTGCAGAGTTCTGCTTCAGTTTTGGATCATACCAGTGTTTTAGCCTTGAGCCAGTCCTCTCTGTGTAGTAGCCTTACCTTGTTCTGTGCTGTACACAGCACTGTGCTACAGTTTGATTTCTTCAACAAAGTCTTAATTAGATTTTGGCAATTCTTACCATGTTATGTTTTCTGGCAGCCAACAGATAGCTTCCCCGTTAAACCAAGTGCTTTGCCCTTCTTTATTAATTGTTTTATTTCTGTTACTGGTTTTATTTATCTCGATGTGATTATTTGGAGGGGGGTGGTGGTGTGTTTTTGTTTTGTGTTGAGGGTGCTTTTTAAAAACACAAGTCAGTGGGTCGTTTCCATGAATAAAAATGTTTAAGTTACTCAGTCTAGCTGACTTCTCCTATAATTGGCCTAACTTCATCTCAGGAAAAGCTTTGTTAAAAATCTTTATGATAATCCGTTGTTTTCTCTTCCAAGTTAAGTCAGATTGACTTACCCTGCTAAATTGCGCTTGTTTTCTGTGCACATCTTTTCCTTTGTGATTGCTTGGCAAAGTTCAAGTAGGGTGAGAACGTTTTTATCTGTTCATTTGCTGATCCATTTGAATCTGAAACTGGGTTAGAAACCAGGATGCTCCAAGCAGTACTGCTGCTTAGTGAGAATTGTGCCTGGAAAGATGTACTAGACATGTCCAGTAAGTGCTGTACTGAATAATTCCCATTTGAGTCATCTGCAGGCTGTTGGATGATATGGTTCTTAACACTGGGCTTCAGAGAAATTTCTTAGGCATAGGTATTCCTCAGATGCCCACTGATCTCCCCTTTGACTTTATTCTGGAGGCTTTTTTTTTTTTTAATCTTCTGTCCCACTAGACTTTGTCTTAATTTCCGTTTGCTGCTGCTCCTTTCTCTTGTATTTATTCACAGTTAATCATGCAACTATTTCAGTGGTGGTCATCTTAAGTTAGACTGTGGAGACCTCACTCTAACAGTGGAGTTAAAACAGTTGAAGGATGAAGAGAGTGGAGAATATAAGAGAGACTACACTGGTACCAGCTCGTTGTGAAAGGAATGTGGTTTTGTTCATTTCTGAATATGTTTTTGACTGCCTTTTCCATATCTTGTCTAGAATGTAGATAGTAAAGCCATGCGTGACCAGCGATTAGACATGCAGCGAAGAGCAGCAGAGACTGGTGATGATGACCTCATTCCATTTGGAGACCGACCAACTGTGTCGAGATTTGGGGCTATTTCTCGTACTTCCAAAGCGATGTACCAGAATTCTGGTCCCATGCAGGCCATGGCTGTTCAGGGAGCTACCACCAAATCAATCATTTCAGGTACGATGTGTTCTCTTGGATTTTGTTGGCTGCTGCTGTTTCGTTTAGTGCTACAGTGTAGTGCAAAGACAGCCCCTGTAAACTTGTTTCTTGTCTCAGAAATATAGATGACATGTTTGTTATGGTGCTAAAAATAACTCTAGGTAGGTCTGCCCTGAGAAGCCTGAGGAAAATGGGTGCCACTGCTTTCTGTTCCGCAGACTGGTTTGGGCACACATAGCGTATGTGTTGGTGATTATGTTTGGAAAGAAGTTTCTTTTTTCTGCTGGTCCCTCTGAGATGAAGCTTCTTTTAAGTCTTTTGTAGTAGAATCCAGAAACTTACTGCTTTCTCAGATATATAACGCAAAACCATCATAACAAAGTACTGTTTTGCGCTCCTACTTCATGGTTAGTTGCTGCTGCAAGCTCAGTGCAGCCATTGCTTTGTGTACTGTTAGGCAAAGCAAATAAAGTAGGAATGCCTTATTTTTTACACGTCTGTTTTCTAATCCCATGTATAGTGTGGCTGTACATCTTAATCCAAAAGATTGTCTCTTTCTTGAGGTGCACTGAATAATCTTAAAGATTATATTCCCCCGAACTTCCTTCTAGATTTTTTTTCCAGGCATTAACTGCTGGAAACAAAACAAAACCTCATGTGCTTAATTGAAGCAGTAACTTTGTAGACTACCACAGGTAGAACTCTGCCTTCCCTGAAAGCTTAATCTTCAAACTGGTATTGTCTAGGTACCTCAAAATTATCAAATAAATTCTGGAGAATTTTGGAAACTTAAGTGATAAAAATAATTGCTTTTACAGTGGCTGTAAGATGGGTTTGGTGTCCCCTGTGTGTCTGAAGGCCTTCACAAACTCATAGACATTGTAAGGCTGCAGGAAATCTTGTTGAATGTGCAGGAAGAGTCATGTGAGACTGGTCACACGTATTTTTCAGCAGAAGGAAACATTCAACTTCCTCACTCTTAGAGGGCTGACCTTCCTGGTTATTCTCTAATTTCTGTCCAGTTCTGTGTGTTGGCTGAACTATTTAAAGGATAGTTTAGTAGTAATGCAACATGGTTTTCCTTCTGTTCACTGGCAGACTACAATCCTTACGGAAGTCACGGTGGCTGGGGAGGCTCTCCATATTCTCCTCATCAAAACATACCTTCTCAGGGACGTTTCAGTGACAGGTAGGATTGTTTTTTTTCTTTTTCTCCTAAATTATCTTTATTTTTTTCTGTCACAGCTAAGTAAAGCTTTATTTGGAAATCTCCTTATTTTTCCTTTTCTCATCTCAAAGGGAGAGACTATCCATGTCAGATGTGACTGGTCATGGAAAACAGTTGCCTTCAGCAGAGCGAGAACAGCAGCTGCGCATGGAGCTGCAGCAAGTAGACCATCAGATTAGCCAACAGACGCAAATGCGAGGACTAGAGGTTGGTACCAACATTTGGAGGAGTGATGAGGGGTGGTATAGAGAGAGATGAAGCTAGTAAAGCTACTTTTCATGTCTTGATGATGTTTCTCTGATTGTAATGATATTCAGTGACAATACTTAGTTCTGTGATACTGGGCATCAGGGCTGTGGTACAAGTGTAAACGTCTCTGCTTAGCAGCAGAGACTTCCCGGCACTTCATATGCAAAGCAACACCATACTTGAATCTGTGCACTCTGCTCATTTGTGTTGCTTTTGTTCTCTCTCTTACTCCCCCTCTCTGTTCATCTGTTCACTCGGCGGCAAACTTGTGGTGTAGATACCTGTTATTCCTGGCTTTACTGCCATTGAAAATGTCTGATTTTATGTTCAGAAAGCTATGACCTTCATCTGTTTCATGTTTGGCTTTGTGTTGTACCTGTTTCTTCCTAAATAGCACAAGCCACAAGAGTCAAGAAAATAAATGTTACAGATATTTAGCTTGAAAAAATAAAGTTTAATGTTTTATGTCATCTTCCTTGGAAGAAATGTAGTCACTTGCAACATGAGGAAAGATAAGGAGCCCGCATGTCTTAGAATTAATGAGCTGAAATCTTTGTATTTTCTCAGACACAGAAGGAGAAATGTTAAGGCATAATGACAGAATTGTTTTAGCAAAGCTTTAGTTACTTTATTTTTTCCCCTCCTAAGAAAAAAATCAGTAAATATTTACTGGAAGATTATTCTAGGTATAGAATCATAGAATGGTTTGGGTTGGAAGGGACCTTAAAGATCATCTAGTTCCAACCCCCCTGCCATGGGCAGGGACACCTTCCACTAGACCAGGTTGCTCAAAGCCTCATCCAGCCTGGGCTTGAACACTTCCAGGGATGGGGCATCCACAGCCTTTCTGGGCAACCTGTCCCTGTGCTTCACTATCTTCTTTGTTAAGAATTTTTTCCTGATACCTAATC